AGTGTTAAAAAAAGAAGAAAAAAACCTAGTCACTGTTGGAAGATACAAACGTGTAAACAATCACGGTGAAAAGTGGCAAATAAAGGGGAAAAAGTAAACATTTACTCTACCTTTCCTATAAAAACTGTACCATATGGTAGCCAAAATACTGAGTGAGAGAAATTATCTCTTTATAGAAATATACCAATTTTTACATTAAAAATAAAACAATTAATCAATGAGTCTATGTATTGATCATCCATGATCAAAAGAGAGGAAATTGGATTTTTTGTGCCTTTAAGTAAAACAAACCACTCATGAATAATGTTACTAAGGGAAAAAAATTAAACCTAGAATACATCAGGCTTCTAATTTTAAATGAGAAACACAGGGAGGAAGTAGGATAAGTAATGTTATACTGTAGGGAATGCAATTAATGAGATGAAACAAAATATGTATGAATTCTTGAAAGGAAAACTGATCTGCTTTGCAAACCTTCATCTAATTCACAATAAAAAGACAATCAAAAATAAATTAAAATGTCAAAATGTTGCTTAATGTATGACTCTGTCCTTTTTATAGAAACTAAAGAGGACAACATGATGAGGATACAACCAACAAGGCCCAGACTATAGAAAATGCCACAGGACAAACAATCCATCTTCATCAACAATGAATTTCAGGAAAAAGAAGAGGAGGGTGAGGGGATGGGGAGGAAAACCTAGAGATTAAAACAGATTTCTGAGATCTATCAATGAACTGCACTGTGAGAACCTTATCTGGATATTTAATATTCATGAGTCATTTAGAAATTCAAGCGTTAACTGGAGATTGGATGATATTATGGAATTACAGTTCATTAATTATGTGCAATAACTCTATTATAGTCTTACTCTTTTAAGAAGGAATATTTATCTTTTGGAGATACATGCTGAAATATTTATGGATGAAACAATATGACGTCTGAGATTTGCTATGAAAAAATTTGGGAATGGGGTAAATGGATAGCGGATACATGAAACAAGATTGGTCATGAGATGGTAATTGAAGCTGGGTGGTGGGCTCCTGGTGGTTCATTACACTATTCTATCAGCATAATATGAAGTTGAAATACATGACACATGGTGATTTCATCACTGATTGAATGTTTGGCTGATATGACATAAGGACAAAGTCTTGGCAGAGTTTATAAAAAAGCTATGGGATTCCTCCTGTTCACTGGTCAATTTATTTAGTCAGCCTGAGCTGGATTAAGATTCTAACATGGGGACCAAGCTAATGGATTCTTCTGTGACAGGCAGGAAAGAAAATGTGATTTAAGGTAGAGTTTCTGCAAGCTGCAATTTAAAAGAAAAAAGAAAACACAAAGGTTTTTATATTGCTATTTTCTTCAAAAAAGATTTACATTTTCATCTTATTCAGAGACAATTTACTCAGTGTCAATCAGCATGAGCAGCCAAACTGAGCATCACAGCTTTTTTTTTTTTTTTTTCCTTTCAGTGCCATTCAAATAAATTACAGCAGAAACTTATGAATGACAAGGAGCTTGTGCTCCAAGTCTAAATTTTACACATCCAAATATGCCCCAAGGATGGTAACATTAAAAAGGAAGGATTTTCTTGACTCCAAATGTACTAATTTATTTTGACAACTAGAGACATTTCTAACAAAATTCAAAAGTATACTAGAAATGATACCTGAGCTTTTAGTTTGGGGGGTAATAGTGTGGCACGGAAATTCACAACTCTCTGCATTTTAATAATATTTATAGCTTTAAAGAGTGAGAAGGTTATTGTATTGAGTGGATTGTGATGTTTCTTGTTTAAAGCTATGCAAAGTCACCAGTTTCTATACAAGGTTCTTATACACAGCAGTCTATTTCATTTTAACTTCACCTTTTATGCAATCTAAAGAAAGTAAGCACAAGTTTTTAAGCTATATTCAACTAAGAAAGGTGCCCTGGTGGTATGATGGTTAAGTACTAGGTTGCTAACCCAAAGGTCAGTGATTCAAACTTACTCAGGAAAAAAGACCTCGTGTTTCTGTAAAGACTGTTGTAGAACTGCAGGTAAATTATAGCCTAGAAAACCCTCTGTAACACAAGAGGTCACCATGAATCGATAATCGAATCTATTGTTGCTTTTGTTGTTGTTAGGTGCCATCGAGTCAGTTTCAATTCATAGCGACCCTGTATAGGGTTTCTGAGAAGTGGCTAGTGAGCTTGAACCGCTGACCTTGTGGTTCAGTGCATTAACCTGCAGTGCCACACCAGGACTCCAATTAACTCTGTATCACCGAACAATAACAACATTCAAGTGAGAGAATGTTAACTGACTTTCTTTGATGAGTCTCTTTTTGTTCTTAACATGTCAGGCTGGCTTGTAAGTCTAAATTCTATGAGTGTAGGCACCAATAATCCCATCCTTTAGCGCTCTGTCATTTTCTAGGATGGAGGCTGACCAAGCAAACAGTAGGCCCATGTTTTAGAATGTATGGATCAGGAACCACCCTAATAAGTAAAGAATGGTACCCACTGAACTTTTAGCAAAATCCTGCAAATTAATTCTCTGTAATAAGAACAAATATTATTGAGTATTTATAGTACACCAGAATAAGTGTCTGTCTGCTAACCACAAGGTTGGCAGTTCAAACCCACCAGCTGCTCCTCAGAAACCCTATATAGGGTTGCTATGAGTTGGAACTGACTCAACAGCACTAAACAACAACATAGTACACCAGGAAATATGTAATAATTAATTGAACCCTCACAGTATTTTTTGAGGTAGATACTTTTACTAACCTTACCTTAAAGATGAGGCTAGCAGAGATAAAGTAACTTTCCTAATATCTCACAGCTGGGATTTGAATTTGAGCTGACTTCATAGTTGGTGTTCTTTACGCACATGCTGTACTTACTGCTGGGTTTTCTCTTACAATCATTACTATCATCCTACTCCACGCCCCCAATGAAAAACAATTCTGATTCTAACAAATCTGTTTTGGAAGAAGCACAGCAGGATTGCTCTTTGGAATTCAGGATGGCAAGACTTCCATCTCTGGTACTTTGGACATGCTGTCAGGAAACACCAGTACCTGGAGTAGGGCACAGCTCTTGGTAAAGTGTTTTTGTTAAGTACTGTCGAGTCAGTTCCAAACTTACAGTGACCCTGTATAGGATTTTCAAGGCTTTAAATCTTGGAGGGAGCAGAAAGCCTTACCTTTCTCCTGCTGGTAAACTGTAGGGTCATTCAAAAAAAGGAAGACACCCCCTAAACCCAACAAGATGAATTAACATAGTTGTAACATCAGTGGGCTCAAGCATACCAATTGTGAAATGGCACAGGATCAGACAGCATTTTGTTCTGTTGTACATAAGGTAGCATTGAGTTGGAACTGACTTGAAAGCAAGTCTTTATACAGGGTAAGTGGTAGCCCAGTGGTAACATTTTTGCCCTCCATACAAGGGACCTGGGTTCGAATCTCAGAGTCTCAGCCAATGTGCATCATGCACAGCCACCATGTATTGGTTAGGGGAGACTTGCAAGTGGTTATGATGTTCAACAGGCCTCAGTGGAGCTCCCAGACTAAGATGAAGTAGGAAGAACGGACTGGTAACCTACTTATGAAAATCAAGCAACGAAAACCCTGTGACTCACAATGGTCTAATCCACAATCCATATGAATTTGGCATCATTTTGTTCTGTTGTACATAAGATTGCCAAGAGTTGTAGGCCAAAGCAAAGGTAGCTAATAGCAGCAACCCTCTCCATGTACCCTACTCTCCAGCTGCATGGAACTGCTATAATTCCTCAAAGTGCTAAGTGTTTTGTTGGCTCCATTAGCTAGAGCCAAGGAAATAGAAAATTCACAGAAAGTATGTGTCTGCATCTAGACAAAACTGACTGCATAACAATGATAGTAGCATCACATGGAAATGAAACAAGTCATAATAGTAAAATATAAGTCAGGATAATTTTAGAGCTGACAATATATATTAAAGAATGCTTGGTTTTAAGATAAGAATGCATATTAAAATTGCTAGTATATCCACTAATTTAAGAGACTTGGAAAACATAATGGGCAGTTAATAAGGGGTAAACAGAATGAAACAACAAAAAATCCAATAGATGGTTAGAAAGAAAGGGGAAGATAAAATTTAAAAATAGAAGACGAATAGGAAGGAAATCCTTAGATGGCAGAAATAAGCCCAGTTACATCTACAATCACAATTGATGCAAGTAGACCAAACTCTATAGTTAAGTGATAAAGATAGCATGAATGGGATTTTTTAAATTCAGCTATATGCTGTTTATAAGACAGACATTACGTATAAAAACACAAAATGGAGAAAGGGCAAACACCATTTTTATCTTGGTGTTCAGAGATCTGGGGATAGAGTAGACCAATTTGTCCAAAGAGCCCAGGGGCCAGGTGGAAGGGAAAGGCCTGAGGCCTCTACTCCATTTCCTCTAGATAGAATCATAGAGGCTACCTGCTGTAACCTAGTGGGATAGCTCTGACTGAGCACAACTGTTAATCAAGGCACCAAAGCATCTAAACAGGAACTTGACTGAGTAAGTCCCAAGACTCCTGGATAGTTAGAGAGGATGAGGGGAAAGACTAGGAGGGAGAAACTGAACCTTTTGCTAATAAAGGGATGTGGGCATTTTGGACAATGAATTTATACTGTGACTATGACAAGTGGCTAATAAGGGTTGTTGTTGTTAAGTACCATCGAGTCCGTTCCAACTCATAATGACCTGGTATAGGGTTTCAGAGGAGTGGTCTGTGAGTTTGAACCACTGAATTTACAGTTAAAACTGACCTTGTTGTGCAGTGCTTTATCCTACAGTGCCATACCAGGACTCCCAAATAGGGGTTACACTTAGAAATGACCAACCATGTAATTCCCTGCAAACTGGTGATGATGACTTTAGTTGACTCAGACACTGAGAATTGTAGGCAAAGGATAGGAGCATAGGAGCTGAGAACGAGTTAGTGGTACAATCCACTATACTCACGTGGCTGATGTGCGTTCCAGTGTGTGTACTGCACTGGCTCCGACTTCAGCCCCGCTGCTTTCCATGTGTATTCTCCTGTATCATTTTGGTCTTGAAGAGCTATCCAAAAGTAACTATCCTTCGTTTGTACCACACTAGTGATCAAGTTGGTAATAAAAGTTTGCTCAAACCTTAAGAAGGGAAATAGGAAATGGTTATATTAAGTTGCTGGGCAATCAAAAATGTCATTAAAACATAATGAGGTGCACAGAATGACACGGAAGCAAACATTTCTTGTTAATTCTTTAGAAAATGGGCAAGAAAAATACTTTAAGACCCTGAACATTACTGATAAATGCTAAATGTCAGTGTGATTCTCAGACACACAAGAGTGAATAGACTTTGACTCTGAAGGACAGGGCTTACTTAACTCCTTCAAGGAAAAGTCCAGCTCCTGCTACGAAGTATAGGTGGTAAATTCCACAGAGCCAGCAAGCTACTGATTGGTGCTACATGTGCTCTATTTTGCAATTAGGCCACATGGGTTACCATCGGGTGATGAGGTGGGTGTAGGCAGAGGGGAGAAGGAAGGAAGGCTATTGATTTTTGAATTAGAGCTTAGGAGACTTGAGTTCCACTTCAGACTCTTGCTCTGAAACCTTCAGCAAGTCACTCAACCTTTCTAATCTTAGAGCCAATTAGAGATTGTCTAATAATATTTGACAATCTCTCCTCAAATGAACCCTCCCAAGAATGCATACTAGGAAGAAGACAAGGAGAGCGACTTTTGTAAGAAGAGGAGTCATGAGCACAAGAGGGTAGTGCAAACAGTGTGCTAAGTGACTAGCCTAAAGGCTGGCCGTTTGAATCCCACCTAGAGGCATTGTGAAAGAAAGACCTGGAGATCAGGCTTGGTAAAGATTTGTTATTGTGAAGTGCCGTCGAGTCGGTTCCGACTCATAGAGACCCTGCATAGGGTTTCCGAGGAGCAGCTGGTGGGTTTGAGCTGCTGACCTTGTAGTTCACAGTCCAGTGCTGATCCTACAGTGCCACACCAGGACTCTATTCAAAAATAAATCCCATGGCACAGCTCTGCTCTGTAACACATGAGCTCACCAGGAGTCAGGATGACTTGACAGCAAGGAGTCTGTTCGTTGGTTTCGTTTGTAACATGGAGATAGGTACACTCACTTGCTCACCGCACTTGCCTTGTGAGAAACCAATGTCTCTCAAGTCAGTTTGTACACACTCAAGTAGCCCTCCATTTATTTTAAAAGTAATCAAATGTGCATTTCTACTATAGATAAATTTAAAATAACAGCAGCTAATTTAAGGAAGTATATGTGTAACATTTTCCCCAAACACATAAATGAATTAATGTTCAATTACTGGTGCCAATGCTCTTTCCAACATGAATATATATGAAAAGCAAAACCTTGAAAACTTGTGTATCTGTTTGTATATAAATAGTTAACAAGAAAATGTGAATATTAAAGACCTTTTAATCAGCATGAAGGTTTTAAGGTTGGTTTGAAATTATCACCAGAAGTTTGTTTTAAAAACATGTGAAGGTTGGAAGAAACAAACTGCAGTCAATGGGAAAGAATGTCCTGGTGAAATTGCCCAGGAAATCTAAAAAGAATGCAAATTTGTCTTTTAAATACAATTTTGCCTTTTAAAATTTATTATCATTAGCATGAAGCCTTAACTTAATAAGGAGAGAACAGCAATGGGTCATTTAAGAATTGAAGAGTCTTGGAGACAACAGACACAAAGAAAAGAACAAACATGATGTACATTTTTTGAGCTGCCTTCTGGATCTCATGAATATCACTAGCAACAATGAGTGATTGAGGTTTGCATGATACTCACTTTCTCTTAGTATTTTCTGCAGATGTTCTATTAGGGATTTAAGCAGCACAAATATGAAAGGGGAAAAGCTCTTGTTTAGCCAGACATCTAAACGATGTTAATGTGCTTCAGAAAGAAGGTATGTAAAACTAAATACTGCGTGGATGTTGTTGTTTCCTTTCACTTCCATTGGTTGCTGCTATTATAACATACGACTTTCTTCTCTCTTCTGAGGCATCATTACCACTCACCTCTGGCACCTGAAATGGATGTTAGGCGACCACTGCATAGAGGGTATCCGACTAAGACCACTAACCACTGTGCTGATCCTAAAGCCAGGGGACAGTGCTGCTTTGCCATAACCTTCTCTATCCATACCAGTTATTTTTTGCAGGTCTGTAGTCCTGGTGTGGCACTGTAGGATATGCACTAGACTGCTAACCACAGGTAGGCAATTCGAACCACCAGTCATTCCTTGGAAACCCTATGAGTTGGAACCAACTCAACAGCATTTAACAACTACAACAACAACCAATTCCATCTATTTTCTCGCTTAAAACTTTTTATGTAGATATTATTTATACCCACTATTGTGTCTGAAAAGGAGCTCTGGTAGCGTAGTGGTTACGAATCGGGCTGCGAACCGCAAGGTCAGCAGTTTGAAACTACCAGCTGCTTTGTGGGAGAAACATGAGGCTTTCTGCTCCCGTAAAGATTTTCAGCCTCGGAAACCCTGTTCAGGGTCGCTATGGGTCGGAACCAACTCAACGGCACTTAACAACAACAACAATTGTGTCTGAAACACATGTTGATCCCCTTCGTTAAACTTAGCTCCATAGAATGTGAGCTTATGGAGATAGATTGCCAGGTCTTTTTTCCACGGTACTACTGGGTAGGATCAAACAATCAACCTTTCCATTAGTAGCCAACTCAAACTGTTTTACCACCCAGAGACATCTTCCATGCTTCCAAATGTATCAGACAACAGAATGCTATGAACTTGACCTCAGGTATTATCCATGAAAGCATTTTATTTTTGTCCCCTATAGGTTTCAGATTTATTTAATCCACTCTAGTAAGGAGCTCTGGTAGCGTAGTGGTTACGAATCGGGCTGTGAACCTTAAGGTCAGCGGTTCGAAACTACCAGCCGCTCCGCGGGAGAAAGATGAGGCTTTCTACTCCCGTAAAGATTTACACCCTTAGAAACCCTGTACAGGGTCGCTATGGGAACCGACTCGACAGCACTTAACAACAACAAGTAGCATAGTGGTTACGAGTTGGGCTGCCAACCTCAAGGTCAGCAGTTCAAAACTACCAGTGGTTCCGTGGGAGAAAGATGAGGCGTTCTGCTCCCATAAAGATTTATAGCCTCGGAAACCCTGTGCAGGGTCACTATGAGTCGGAACCGACACCACGGTACTTAACAACAACAACAACAACATTCTGATTTGCTATCTTATATCCATGTATCATTGTTTAAATCTATAAACACCTTCTGCTTTATGAATTACCAAGTATAGCTTTTTTCTCCCTTAAATTTTTTTTTATTTTGTTGTTGTTTTTGAGAATATACACAGCAAAACATACACCAATTCAACAATTTCTACACATCCAATTTAGTGACAATGATTACATTAAGTTGTGGGCAAGTATATCTTTCAAATTGTTGCATATAATATTCATAAACTGAACATAAAACCTTCTAATCAAAACCATATTCGAGTTTCTCTATCTGGTTTATGAGATGGCATTGCTGTGAAATAAATTCAGCAAATGTGTCTTTCTTCTAAACCATGTATTTTAAGAAAATTAACTCTGTAGCCATCTAAAGTGGAGGAAAGAAAAGTGATAAAAATCAAAGACACAGGGAAACAATTAGTCCAGTAGATGAATGGACCGTGCAAACATCAATCTGCACAACGCTGAGAATCAGAGAATAAGACGGTAGTCAGCGACCACTAGCAACTACTCTGAAAGGGACAAAAGTGGCTAAAAAAAAGGATGCCTCTTGTCTGTGAATTACAGTAGTAAGCAAACCAAAAAAACAAAAACCAGACTCATTACCATCAAGTCAATTCTAACTCCTGTTGTTGTTGTTTGTAAGTACCATAAAGTCAGTTTCTAATCATCGCAACCAAATAACCGAATAACCAAAAACCAAACTCCTAGTGACCCTATGTAGAATTTCTGACACTGTAAATCTTTACTGGAGTAGGTAATCTAATCTTTCTCCTGCAGATCAGCTGTTGGGTTTGAACTGCTGACCCTGCAGTTAGTAGCCCAATACCTAACCAACAGCATCACCAGGGCCCCATATTAAGCAGACAGCAGTCTCATAAAATTAGATTGAAAAAAAGTAGGGCAAAGTTTGGAAGTAATTTCACTAGAGGGTGATTCCAATTGAATATATATACAGCTACTGCTGCGTGCCATCAAGTCAGTTCTGACTCATAGTGACTCTGTATAGGGTTTCTGAGCCTGTAAATCTTTAATAGGAGCAGAATGTCTCATCTTTCTCCTTCAGAGCACCTAGTGAATTTGAACTGTTGACCTTGGAGTTAGCAGTCCAAGGCGTAACCCACTACAATTCCAGGGCTCCTTAAAAATATATACTGGTAGTCTTTATATATAATGAGAAGGGGTTGGAGATCCCGTTTGAAGGGACTCTGCTTTTAACTAAGTTGTCACACTTGGATTTCTCCCAAAAACACAGTGTGATTATTTTTATGTCATTTTCAAATAACTGTCTTTATTGCTGAACTAAGATATAAATGACCATTCCACCCCCCTCTTTCTGTAAATTAAAGAAAATAGAATACTGCTACTTTAAAAATGTACCACTGCACGTACATTATTGCAAGAAGTTTCTGGTAGTATTCTTCAAAAACTGGAAATGTTACACTTTTAACACTGTTACTTGTAAAAGATTGGATGAGAACACAAACTCAAGAAAACACAAGGGGAGGGGCTTCAAAAAAGTTGTGCAAAATCCCATTTTCCTTAACTTCATTTTCCAAGAACTTTTTGAAGCCCCCATGTAAACACAAGAAATAAACCTGGAAGAGCAAATCAAATTCGAAATAGCTACTGGTGGTTACCTTTGGTGAGGGAGAGTTTGGTGAAAAGGGGGGCGGGCAAATAGAGATAAGAGTCACTTACATGTTTTACTCTATATTCTTCTGGCTTGCTTAAATTTGTAAAATTGAGATGTATAAAATTTTCAAGAATAACTATAATGCAATTTTCAAAGTAAATTAACTGCAAAAGTGTTCGAAGGAGATGGCCGTTTCAAAGAATAACAGACGTAAACATGCTTTTTCAAAAAATGCACATTTAAACCTGGGAGAAACTGAGACAGTGTATGATTTCTCATCTTTTGGCAAAATTCACAAAATTGAATGTTATTTGTATTATTTGTACCAAATATTACATGACCAATTGATCCAAGATATAGATATACATGCGTTTAAACAATTATCCATGGAACCCTTGGAACTCAAATTATGCATTCATGTTCTGTTTGAAAACAAAGTTGCCAGGTCTGAAAAAGTTTTGTTATCAGTGAGCAAGGAAGTAGAATTCTGTTATTCAGCAATAGTCTGTTTTCCTCCTTTCTCAATTCCATTGAGTCTTAAAAGTTCTAGACCAAGAAGCAGTTGCCCCATAACAAGAAATAGCTTATTTTTATGCAAATAATATGAGCTATGTGTTTTTGTAAACTGTGCAACCCCCAGGTGCATTAGTTTCCTATGTGTGTTATATGTATGTGTATGTAATTTCATGGTGCATTATATCTGAGAAATATGGTAAGTAATTTGTAGCAGGTGGTTCTAATTGTGTCCATCAAATCTGTCATTCAGTTGTGCAGAAGAGTGGAAAACCAATTAGCAGCTACAAGCTTTGGCATGGGTGAATAACAGGAGTGTCTTTACTCAAACAGGAAATCAGGAATGGAAGGAAATTATAACCACCTTTCTCATGGGTACTCTTGCATCTGAGATTTTCCATCTACTGCCCAACCTTCTAGGCAAAAGATGTTACGGAAAAATATTTGACTGTTTGCTCCTAAGTTTTGTCACTCAAAGAGCAGGGCCGTGCAGATCCTTGTTTCTTATCTGATGATGTCTGTTATTGTTGTTGTTAAGTGCCATGGAGTCCATTCCTACTCATAGTGACCTTGTGTATAGAATTTCCAAGGAACAGTTGATGGGTTTGCAGTCCACTGCTTATCCTACAACACCATACCAGGTCTACATTAATAGAAATCCTGTTTCCTCAACTCCTAATTCCTGTGTTGGATTCACTGCTGTGTATGTAGGCATCTTTACTGGGTGGTGAAGTTGGTTAATGCATTTACCCGACAGCGAAAAAGTTGGCGGTTCAAGTATATCCAGAGGCATCTCAGAAAAAGCCTTGGCAATGTACTTCTGAAAAGGCAGTCACTGAAAACTCTGTGGAGCACAGTTCTACGCTGGTACATGTGAGTTGTTATGAGTTGGCAGCAACTAGTTTTAGCAGCACACTAACCGTCTGCACCATCCAGGGACTCCTGTCTATTGAATACAGTTTATCAAAGAGAAATTTAAAGTATTCATAACATGCTCTTATAAGCAGTTTTGAGGCAAATAAAACACTGATTTATTTTGGGGAAAATAAACACTTTCTATTACGTGTATGATTTCCCCAGGGGTTCTTAGAATATGAAACATTTTAGTGATAACAGATTTCTGCCTCACCGTGGGTCACTTTGGCATTATGGGCTATGAAAAATGTTACTTTGAGTTTATTCATTTAGTGTGCTATTCATTCTCCTTCACTTATTTCTTCTGTCTATGTTCTGTCTCACCAGTTGTTCAACTGTAAATAGCACCTAGATAAGTACACCATACCTTGATTTCCCTCTTTTGTACAGCATGTCTCTGCTTAATATACAGCCTCCCTCAGAAACAGGTATTCAATGCATTACTTTCTAATAACTATTAAGATTGGTGTGGTCAGACGACATATGAAAAGTAGTTGGCCCAGGGCCAGGTATGAGACAGGCATTCAAGGAATATTAAACAACAGCACAAAGAATTTGACAATGAAAAATAGGTGAAAAAAAATTAGGCTTTTTATTTTTTTGAATCACAGCTTCATTGGCCAGGCCCTTGAATAAAGTCCAATGATGACTCACTGACTTGAAGACTCCCAGCCTAAGGTGCTATTGAAGTCTTCTGAGTGGATTACCAGGTGGAGGGGATAAAGGCTGATAGTTATACCCATACATAACTGTATGGTTGTTGTTGTTGTTGTTATGTGCCATTGAGTCGGTTCCGACCCATAGCGACCCTGTATAGGGTTTCCAAGGAGTGACTGGT